TGGTCAATTTTTTCCCAGAATATTAAATAGTTGAAAAACTTGAAAAAGTAGATATGTTAAAAGTCACATTATTTTAAGGTTAAATATTTTATTTATAACTTAAACAGAATTTCTTATAATTCTATTTTCCTGGCTTTAATGGAAACAAAAGTCACCAATAATATTTTCAAATTCTGATTTTTGAAAAAATAATTATTAAAAATTTTCATTAAGGCCGGGCACGGTAGCTCATGCCTATGATCCCAGCACTTTGGAAGGCTGAAGGGGAAGGATTACCTGAGGTCAGGAATTCGAGACCAGCCTGGCCAACATGGTGAAACCCCATCTTTACTAAAAACAGAAAAATTAGCCAGGCGTGGTGGCACACACCTGTAGTTCCAGCCACTCGGGAGGCTGAGGCAAGTGAATTGCTGGAGCCTGGAGGCAGATTGCAGTGAGATTGTGCTAATGCACTGGGCAACAGAGGAAGACTCTGTCTCAAAAAAAAATTTTTTTTTCATTAAAACATGTATATAGGGGGACATATTTTTCCTGGGAGCCAGTGTGAGTGTGGAGGAGGAGAGGAATGGGGCTGGGGTCCCCATGAGGCATAGGTTATGTCTCCGTTATCTGACAGGACCTAGGGCTGCAGGGCAAGAGGCTCAGTGACAGGGGTTGGGGTCTGAGTGGTTGACCAAGCACAGGCAACGCCCCCACCAAGCTGGTATTGTGGAGGGTTGTTGGATGGGCTGAGTTTACAGGACCAGCAGTGCCTGGGGGAGATGCCCAGGAGGCCGACTGATACTCAGTGCTGGGCAGAAAGCTGAGTGTAGGTGGCATCCTCAATGTCCAGGTGGTGGGGAGTTATGAGCCTGTGGGAGGCTGGAGAGGGGAGCGTGAAGGCACCCAGGCTGAGCACAGGAAGAACACTGGCTGGGGTTGGGAGCCCCATGCCCATGTGGGCAGTGATATCGGCGCTGCTCAGAAGCCTGTGCATCGCAGGGATTCTGGCCAGTGGTGCAAGACCCCTGCTGAGTGCTGTTGGCCCGGCTGAGCCGAGGCTGTTCATCTCTACTAAGGACCCACTCCCCACACAGTTTGCTAGAGTGAGGTGAGACACAGATAGTGACAGAGGGAGGTAGTGGGCACAGGATAGGAGGCCTTGAGGAGCTGGAAGTGTTAGGTTTGAGAGGGTGGAAGCATCAGGAGAGGTGACCTATGCTGCCTTCCCCATAGCTGCCTTGTCTTGGCAGAAAGGTCTTGTGCTCCCCGGCCTTCCTGGACAAGGGACAGAAGAGCCCCAACATGCAGGGGCTGGACCCTGCCCTCAGGGAGTCCCGTTGCACACGTGGTTCTGACCCTGGGGCCTGGGATTCAGGGCCGGTACTCCTGGATCCTGTGAGCTGGGGATGTTGCCTGGCGATGGCCAGCAAGTGTGGAGGGGCCCTGAGTCTCCCAGCCTGAACCTGTTTGGCCCTGCTTACCACACCAGTGTAATTACACCCTAAGGAGCAGGATCAATGGGTACCTGATGCCTGATTCACAGTCCAGGGCAGAGGATCAGAGAGCACTGGTCCAGAGTCAGCATAGTGGCCACACCCCAGTCTTATAGGTCGGGGGGCATTTACTGTGGGCACCTCCAGCCACCACCATCCATGACCTACAACCTCAAGGTGCCCCTGAGGGCCCCCACAGCCTTCAGCTCTGGCTCTGGCAGGACTAGCCTGGCCCGGCCACCTACCAGAGATTAGACAAGCCTGGTGGACGGTTAATGCCGCTGACGTCAGGGCCTGGCTGGGTGGCCACTGGGGGTTTAGGCCCTCCCCACAGGCAGTAGCACAGTCCATGTGACCAGGGCTCATTAAGCCGCTTCAGTGGCCAGAGAAGCTGGGGGCCAGATCTCAGGAGAGAGAGGGCAGGCACGTCAGAGCTGTGGGGACCAGGCCTTAGCCATGAGGTCACCAGCTCTGGGGGCCCAGGCTGGGGAACAGCTGGGTAGGGGTGGTTGCTTATGTGTCCCCTCCATACTTCTACACCCTGTCTTGTGACACTAAAGCCCTGTTCATGCCCAAAGAGGAGCCTTGCAGGCACCAAACTGAGCAGAGCAGAGTCAGCAGCTGGGGTGTGGGTACACAGCCCTGAAGTGTGGGGGTGAGAACCACTTTTTCCTGTGAGGATTTCAAAACCCCAATCATGAGCCCAGAAGAAGCATGCTGCACTACACACAGCCCTCTGTCCACTAGGGCTAGCCTGACACCCATGCTCCTTGCCCTCTGGCCCAGCTGCTTCCTCCATCCAGAGTGCCCTTCCCTCCCCACCCTGGCGTGTGCCTTTCCTCCTCTTGCAGAGCAAGGAGGGCTGCTTCTCCATCAGGCTCTCATTGATCTGTGCCCTCCAACCTGGCAGGCGCTTTCCCATTGAGACCACCTGGAGATTGCACTTGGAGACACTGGGGCTGGGGCTGGGGCTGTGTGGGTAGGGTGGCAAGAGCAGTAAGTGTTGGACTAGCTGGCTCTTCATGGTGTCTCAGGCAGGGTTCACAGAGGTGGTCTATGCGGGTGATGAAGGACAAGTAGGAGTTTGCCAAGGAGGTGGGACAGGGTAGGGAACCTTCAGCCCTGGGAAGCACGAGGGCAGAGGCACAGGAGCATGAAGGCTGGCGAGTTCTGCGAACAGCAGGAATGTGTACAGTGTGGCCAGCTGGGCTGAGGGGAGGTGGAGAGGCCTGCTGGGAGCAGGTGGGGGGATATGAGGGAGGCCAGCCAGGTGTGGGGGCAGGAGTTGCAAGGGATCAGAGGAGTCAGAGGACACAGATGCTGGGCTCTGGAAGGGCCGCGTTGGAGGCAAAGATGGGACATCACTTTTGGAGACAGTCTTGGGGCACTGTGTGGACAGCGTGTCAGCAGAGGTGGTGGCAGGGTGAGAAGAGATGGCCCAGCTGGAGGCTTAGAGTTCATGACTAGAGAGGGAGGAGGAGAGCCAAGGGCTATCAGGGCCCTGGAAGGAGGATCTGAGCAATCCTGAAACCCTGAGTTCTGCTTCACGGGTCTGGCAGACCCTCTCGGGTCTGGGTTTAAGTTTGTGGTGATGGGGCAGTGGAGGTCGGGACTGGGCTGAAGCCTGGGATAACCCTTCCCCTATCCTCCACCCCATGAGGCTGCCCCAACCCTGGGGTTGCTGGGATGGACATTCCCTCCAGCCTCTGGGAGAAGGCAACCAGCAGCTCTCAGAGCCACATCCTAGCTGTCCAGCTGTCCGGCCACCACAGGCTGGGCTGGGAGATTCGGCAGGTGGCGGGAAAGGCCTCTGAGCTGTGTTTGCCCTGGCTGGGGCCCAGGCCTAGCAACAACAAACAGCCAGCCCCTCCCCCAGCCTGGCCACAACTGGCCTGACCCAGGGACCCCACATCATACCCAACTCTGGGCCTCCCACAGCAGCCCAGCCCAGCCAACCCCTGCTTCTTCCAGTCTGGATTGAGGACCCCAACACCCACATTGCCAGGTGACCTTGAGCCAGCCCTGGCTCCTCAGGAACTGCCAGTGGGAGCCACCAGCCCTTGGCAAATGGCTCCTGTGAGCATCCAGGGTGTCTGCAGGTGGGAGGGTAAGAGGTGGGAGGCAGGCCTGAGGCCCTAGTCAGCACCTCTTCTATATGGCTCTGTCCCAAGGCAGAACCATCCCCTTTTGGAGGGTGGGAGTCAAGGTGAGCTCTGATCTGGGGATAGTATCAGTCCAGACCAGGAGTGAAAGGCAGCCCTTTCCCATTTTTCAGCTACCAGCTGGGCAGAAGTTCGGGTGGCTTGAGGTTTTCAGGGTTTGCCACCATCCCAATGCCTTTATCTCTAGCCCTGCCAGCCAGAGCTAAGCCCCCTGCCTGGGCTCACACCTTCCCCTTCACCCATTCCCCCAGCCATTGGAATGGGTGAAGGAGAAAAAGACAGCCATTTCCATGTGACAGAGGGAAACTGAGGTATGCCAGGGCTTGGCTGTGGTGATTCTGTGAGTCAGCAGGAGAGAATCCTGGAGTCCTGACTCCCAGCCCAGGGCAGGGGGGGGGGGTCGGGCATGTCCTCTGAGGGCATTTCCCCACACTGGGAAGCGGGACAGGCATGACACAGAGAAGACCAGCTTGGATAGGAACAGCAGAGGACATGAGATTAATCGGATCAGAGTCAGTGGCTGAGAAGCAAGGGGCACAGCTGTTCTGGGAATCCCCCCAGTTCACCCCAAAGCTTAGTGTCTTCCCCCAGCTTTCCAGTGGCTGAACCTGGGACCTTAACACCCACCACCCGCTGCTGAGCACCAGGACCCTGTGTGGAGAGTAGGCAGGGGTGAGATAGGAGCCCCCAGCCAAGAATGGGGCCATCCTAAAACCCCTGTCCCCAGGGCACCAAATCCCAGGCCCCTTCTTGGGGGCAGGCAGAGGGCTGTCTCCTAAACCTTCAAAATAAGGACGGGGGTCATGGTTGGGGGCCCCACGTGAGGCTCAAGCCAGCCAAGCCTGGTTTTATGCCTGACCTCACTGCCCCTGCCCTCTCTGTTCCAGCCTCAGCTTCCTCTGAATATCTGGGGTGGAAACAGAATTGATATAAGAAGCCCTCCCACCCCCATCACCACCCCGCCCCTGGTTGGGCAAAGGGAGGCAGGTAGATGAGGCATTCTGATGCCTGAATGTGCCTGAAAGTCCCCCATTCAAGCATCCCTCACTGAGGCTATGCACTGCCAGTCCCGTTGGCTGAAGCTCCCCTTCTGGCTTCGGGGGTTGTGGGCAGAGCGTTTCAGGGGTTTAGGTGACACCCACAGACCTCAGAGAAAATCTGCTTTGGACTGAAGCATTCCGCCCACAAGACTCAACGGAGCCCCTCCTGCAGCTCTGCTCTCCCACTTAGGTGCTCCCTTAGAGCGCCGGCCGCCCCTTTGCTCCCGGCCTGCCCCGGCCCCCGCCACTTCCCGACCAGCCCCTCCTCCCGCGGGCCGCCAGGGATTGGCGGGCGGGGGGCGGGCCGGGGGCGGGGCCGGGCGCCCTTCATCCCCCGTCGCTGTTGTCGCTGTTGCAGCCCTGAGTTCAGCCGGGAGCAGAGCGGACCTCACGGCCCGAGCGGAGCGCCGCGCGTGCCCAACCGTGAGGCCAGGTACCGCTTCGGGAGTTCACCCACCCGCCCAAGGGCATGGGTGGACCGAGCCCTACTGTCCCCTCTCCTGCCCACCATAGCCGGATTCTGGGAATCTCCCCTCTCCCGTCCTGACCCGGGCAGGCGAGCCAAAGCCCCGCGCGCTCCAGGTGCTGGTCTTGGGGACCCGCCAGTCGGGACTCAGCGCCGAGCTTGAGCAGGGCGCTAGGTGTACCGGGAGGGACACGTCGTCCCCTTAGGGCCTCTTGGCAGGACGGGGAGGTACGGCGGGTCGGCGGTACCCAGGGCTGGGACCACAGGACGTCTTGTTGGGGGCTCAGGCGGCACGCCACAGGCTTCCTGAGGCAGGGCCCACAGGGGAGACTGGACAAGGCTTGAGGGGGCACTCAAGAGGGGCCTGGACCAGTCCCTGGAGCGCTGCCCCGACGGGCGCTTGACAGGCAGAGCTGCCCGGCTGGCACGCTGGGAATCCGAGTATATTTATCCCGGCTGCGTTGGACAAGGGCTTGAGGGCAGATCGGGCCGTGCCAACTGAGGGGCCGCGGGGTACATGCTGGTCCCAGAGTCGGTGCCATTTGCAGTGGAGCCAGCGGGCACGGCGGGCCCAGAGTGCGCGTGGCTCCCTGACCTGAGGCCGGGGCGCCCTTCGAGCTCCTCTCCACCTGGCACGGAGTAGGGTGTAAGGCAGAGCCCGCGCAGCGCAGGGCAGAGAGAAGAAACCAAGACTTGGTTTGCAAGAGCCCGCCTTTACCCGTTTGGCCCCTTGGATTGGCCACAGCGAATGCGTGGGTTTGTTTACACCCGGGTAGGGGGAGGCTGGGGCGGGACCTGCGGGGACCCGCCCTTTTTCCCCCACAGGGACCTGAGTCCTGAGTCCGGGTATGGGCTCCTGAACAGGTCTGAGAAAGGCTAAGTCAAAGGCTCTTAAGCCCTGGGGACTTAAGAGGACATGGAGGACAACCCACTCATGCCCATCCTTCCTTCATCCTGCCAACCCTGTCCTTTTCTCCATGACCAACTCCAGCCACAGAGCTACCCCTGGAAAAGGCCTGTGGACCCTCCACCCCTTCCTGTTCTGTAAAAGGTCTGGGATGGGGCTCATTTCCTTCTGGAAAGGAAGCAAATCCTCAGGCCTCTCAGTCTGGGGGCAAGAAAGCTAAAGAGACCCAAGGATGGTTCCATTTTGAATGGGGGAAATTTGGCACAGCCATGGTACCCTTCCTGCAAGAAGCATTGCTGGCGGAAGGGACGAGGACTGGAAGAAGCCAAGCATGGCACATCTCTGAGAGGGCTGGAATGACTGAAACCAGAAATGGGAATCTGATTTCTTGATGTTGGGAGCAGGGGGCTGAATCTCTGGGGAAGGTGGGAGTGTGTATCTCAGAATTTTGTTCCGCCTGGGTCCATGGGATCCATGTCTTCACTGGCCTCTCAAGCCAGTCTTTATTGTGTGCTGGTCCTTTTGGCCCGTGTCACAAATGGTCCCCACACCAGTCCAGGGCTCCAGGTTGCCAGACCATGACAACTGGTTGCTCCTGTCCTTGTGTCACTGCCCTAGCAAGTAGCCTCGGAGCCCTAGACAGATGGAAAAACTGAGGCACAACAAGACTGGCTGGGGGTTCATGGTCTCTGAGTTGGATCAGGGAAGGATTTTAAGCTGAACTGGACACACCCTGGAAGTCTGGGCTGGGTATGAGGACAAGCAATCAGTTTGAGAGGAAACACGTTTGGAGGGACATGGCTCGGGGTGGGCCACCAGGGAGCGCAGTTTTGGCATCTCTGTGAACAAAAAGCTGAGGTGGAATGTGTAGTCTATAGTAGAAGTGGGACCCAGTGGGAGAATGTTCTAGTGCAGACATGGCCAGGGACCAGGCCTCACTTGGAGCAGGTAAGAGGGCTTGCAAGGGCCTCAAATGCATTCAATTCATTTATTTTTTTTATTTTTTTCATTTTTTGAGATGGGGTCTCACTCTGTTGCCCAGGCTGGAGTGCAGTGGCACAATCTCGTCTCACTGCAACCTCTGCCTCCCAGGCTCAAGCAATTCTCCCATCTCAGCTTTCTGAGTAGCTGGGAGCTTAGGTGTGCAACACCAACCCTGGATAATTTTTTTTGTATTTTTGGTAGAGACAGGGTTTCACCATGTTGCCCAGACTGGTCTCGGACCCCTGAGTTCAAGCAGTCTGCCTGTCTCGGCCTCCCAAAGTGCTGGAATTACAAGTGTAAGCCACTGCGCCCGGCCATTCCATTCATTTAACATTTGCTGAGCACCTACTGTGCGCCCTGTGTACACTGTCTAGTGAGTGAGGGGTAGACCTTTGACTCTGGGTGGTAGGACAGACATAGGAGAACAGGGTGGGGCTCCAGAGGACCAGGCGGGGCTTCTGGGGGCCAAAGGGAAGGACCAGCTGCTGGGGCAGGAGGGGCTTTCCGGCCAATGGCCTGGGGTGGCTTGGTTTTGAATTTCCGCTCTGCAGGCCACGTCCTGTACACAGCCTCCCAGCCAGCACGTCTGCACACGTGCAGGGCTGCTAAGAATGGGGTCACTCCAACTGTCCATCATCTTTTCCATTGCTCAGGTAGACAAGTCCTGGGTGCTGGATCAGGGATCTCTGAGCTTTCCAGTTGGGCCTGGCTTTGTGGTCCTAGTGGGCTCAGCCCCACCTTCTGGGTGTCATAGCACCTGGCTAGTAGGGGCATAACCTGCTCTGTGGGGACCTGGAGGCGCAGCAGCAGCCTTTTTGTGGGGTCCTTCAGGGTTCTGCCTGGCCATCTCTGCAGTGCCCATTGGGCCCACTGCCCCCTCACCTGGGCCCCCTGGCTCCTTCTCCCCTTCTCCCTCTTTCTGGGGCTCTCTTTTTCTTCAGCTGTCTCTTTTTTATTTTTTATTTTTTATTTTGAGACGGAGTTTCACTCATGTTACCCAGGCTGGAGTGCAATGGCGCGATCTCGGCTCACCGCAACCTCCGCCTCCTGGGTTCAGACAATTCTCCTGCCTCACCCTCCTGAGTAGCCGGGATTACAGGCACGCACCACCATGCCCAGCTAATTTTTTGTATTTTTAGTAGAGACGGGGTTTCACCGTGTTGACCAGGATGGTCTCGATCTCTTGACCTCGTGATCCACCCGCCTCGGCCTCCCAAAGTGCTGGGATTACAGGCTTGAGCCACCGCGCCCGGCTTATTTTTTATTTTTGAGACAGGGTCTTGCTCTGTCTCCCAGGCTGAGGTGCAGTGGCGCAATCTTGGCTTACTGCAGCCTCTGCCTCCCAGGTTCAAGCGATTCTCCTCCCTCAGCCTCCTGAGTAGCTGGGATTACAGGCACCCACTACCATGCTCAGCTAATTTTTGTATTTTTAGTAGAGATGGGGTTTCACAATGTTGGCCAGGCTGGTCTTGAACTCCTGGGCTCAGGTGATCCACCCACCTCAGCCTCCCAAAGTGGTGGGATTATAGGCGTGAGCCACCACACCCAGCTTTGCAGCTGTCTTCCTCCATTTGGCCATCTCTGACTGGCACTCACTCTGTTTCTCACCTCCCTGATTGTCTCTGTAGCTCTCTGTCTCCCTGTCTGAATGTCTGTCTGCCTATCTGCATCTGATTTTTGTCTGTGTGTTTTTCTGTCTGTCCCTCTGTGTGCATCTGCATTTCCCTGTCTCCCTGGGCCTCTGCATCTCTGTCTGTCTGTCTGTCTCTCTGTATGGATCAGTATGCATGGACGCATGGAGCTAATGTTTTCTCTCCCTGTTCGCTCCCTATCTCTCTTCCCACCCACTGCCTCTTCTTCATGATGTCGGATGTCGCCCCTCCTCCAGGCTGACCTTGACTTTAGAACCCCATCGGACTCTCTGATGAGTCCAGAGCTGCCTGAGGCCTGTGCTCCAGCTTTCTTTGGGGCCAGAAGTCCGGCTGTCCAAATATTTGGTCTCCTCCAGGGGATTCCGGGTCAGCAGGGAAGAGAATGGGCTGGCTGGCGCAGGGTCTCCCCTGCCCCTGGGGGGCCGCAGTCACGTGATGTCCTGTCCTTTGCCTCAGCTGGGCCTCAGGCTGCACGTCCTTCTCAGCAGGCTGGCAATAGGGGAGGTGGAGGCTGCTGCTGCTCTAGCCCACTCGTGAACCAAGAGCTTCTGGCTACAACCTCTAGCAGGGGCAGCCTGAGCAAGGAGGGTCCAGGGCTGGGTGGGAAGGGAGGCCGAGGTGCCTAAGGTTAGGCCCAACTACAAGTATCTGTTAGAAAATGTACCCAGCCACAGGAAAGTCCACCTTCCGGCCCCAGCTGGGCCTCTCAGATCCTCCTAGACACCTCCGGATGCCCAGAACACAGACATAGACCTGAAATCCCAGGGCCAGGGAGCTGAGGGATGAGGGATTGACGTGGCCAGTAGATCAGTTCTCTGGGCCATCTGGCTTCCCCTGGATGTGCCCCCTTCTGCATGTCACCTCTTCAGTATTAGCCCAGTGTTGTCCACACACTGGCCACTTGCATTGTTGTGTTGTTGAGGAGGATGTGGCAGACGGCAGACTGGAATCTACTGGGGTCAGAATCTGGAGATGTGGGTCTGGAGGATGGTAAAAGGTGTCTTTTCCCTGTTCTAACACCCTCCTTCCACTTGCTCTGTCCCTAGACCCCTGACCCCAGCAATCAGATACCACTGATTCCTGTGGCTGTGACTGGACAACATACAGTCCAAATGTCTCCATTGGATCTGGTTTCCTCCCTTACTAACGGCTTGTCCTAGGAGAGGGGGATCTTCCCTCTGAAGCCTGAAGGAGCAGGTGGACAGAGGGGTAGCTGTCCAGTTGGGTATCAGACTTAGGAGGTGGGCACCCTGTCTCAGCCAAGGAAGGGAGTGGTAAAAATGAGCTGAGCTGGAACTGGGAGCAGCCCTCACCCGTGAGCCCCCAGGGATAATCACGATGGACCCTCAAGCCAGGCCAG